TGGCCCCACACCATGTCCCATTTTTATGGCACAACCAGCTTCACCGGTGTCCCCCCAGGGAGCTTTGGGGGAAAGCTGCTTCTCCTCAGCTTTGTTTAAGGAACCGAAATGCCTGAGGTGCCAGGAGCGGGCATGAACCAGGAACTCGCAGCCTGATGCAGTTGCACGTGGCAAAACCTCCACTGCAGACGCAGCAGTTTGGCTGCCCGGGAGGGAGCGAGCTGGGGAGCCTGGCCATGCACCCCGTACCTCGCTATCCCTGCCGCTCCGCTGCCTGCTCCTGCCCGGTAGGTGCTGGGAGCCCTCCAGGAGCACAGGGTCCGAGCTGTGCTTCCACCCACTGGGTGGAACTGGGTCCCAACTCCTCGTTTATTGTCTGGTGGGTTTGAAGGGCCCCATCTTCCTGGACCTGACCAGTCACACCTCCGGGGTGAACACATGGGAGCGGGGAAGCTCCAGGAAGGGAGTACTGAGGGACCGGGTGAGACATGCCATGTCCACAGAGTGCCCCATCCGGGGACAGTCCCTGGCACAAAAACACCATGTGCGGAGGGGATGGAGGTGGCATCTCTGAGGTAGAGCCACAGGGAAACGCAGGGCTCCCCGGTTGTTCCCTGCAGGGGAAGGGACCCGGGAGCACTGCACAGGGATGCCCGGCAGCCCAGAGCCCAGCCCGGGTGATGCTCAGGACAGGGACGCTTCACCCCCAGAGAGCTGTTGTCAGGGGACGGGGTTCAGAGCCAGGCACAAGACAAGGACGGGAACAGCTCAGTTGTGTCTCCACCAAGGAACACCCTCAGCACCGCTAAACTACAACCAACCCTTAGCAATAAAGCTGTTTCCTCGCCTTCATCAAGGACATAGCTGCAATGGCACCAGCAGCGGGTCCCTGGTCCCTGTGCGAGGCTTTGGTCTGAGCCAGGACCAGCCCGTGGCTGTAGGAGAAAGACCCTGTGACACCCAGCATGGGCCTGGTCCCCACACATGGGCTGTGTTTGTCCTGCCTGTCCCCAAACCCTCCCTCAACCCTGGGAACTTCTTCCAAAGAGTTTGCCCAGCCCAGCGCAGGCTCAGCAACACGCTGATGGGAGAGAGGGAGAGCACTGCAGGGGACTGGTATTTCCAGGGGACAAGGGATGGGGACGGGGAGGAAGCCTGGAGAGATCTGATTGGGGCGCTGGGCATGGGGCTATGTCATGGATGGAGTGATGCACTTCACCCGTAAGACAGAAGCAGTAATATATTTATTGATATATTTATTGATATAAAACAACAATTTAATAAAGTTTGATAGTAAATGCGACAGAGGTTTAACAAGATTCTATGGCAAGGTACGCTTGGTTATTTACTGCGTAGAGATCAGAGTCAGACAGAACTGTCAGGGAGACCCTCCGGTTGAGTCGAGGTTCAGAGAGGACCCCTGACTTTCTAAACTCCTTCTGAGAGAGGAGTTGAGGTGCGCCTGGGTCCAAGCCTAGTCCCAGACTTTATCAACTGTTTATGTCTAAAGGATTATATGTGCACAATCACTCTAAGATGTAATCTTAGTGAAGCTTCAAAGTTTAGCATGTTATTAGCCACGAGAAATCTCTCAATCTCAAGAAGTAACCTTGAGAGGGGCCCCTACCCAAGGGGAGATCCTGGTGTGCAGCCCGCTGCTGTGCAGGAGAGCTCAAAGTGCTCGTGGGCTGTTCACTATGTATAGGGTAAGATGATTAACTTACAGTCATATTTGCATATCGACCACAGTACCTGTATTGAGGTTAGGTGGGCGCGTTGCTCCAGTTAGCCCTTGGCTATTGTGTTGTTATCTGTCTCCCCGAAACCACTTTGAGCTGGATGCAGGAGGTGCCGGTGCAGCGGCAGCACGTCGGCGGCTCCGTGTGTCTCCTCAGGCTGCTGGGCGGTGATGGGCACCGCACAGTGAGGGGATTCCTTGGGGGGTCCCTTTTGATGAACTGCAAGTACTGGCACGGTGATGAGATGAAGCCCACTTTCTGGTGCAAACTGGGAACAGATTCTGACTGTGCTGCTGACATCGTCATCACTTCGAAGAATCAGTCCATGGTGTGGAGGGAGCGATTCTCCATCAGGGACAATCATGCAGGGAAGTTGTTCATGGTGACCACGGAGGGCCTGGCTGAGGGGGACATGGGCACCTACCTCTGCAAGGTGCAAAGGAGCACAACCCAGCGTGAGGAGAGTTATGGCGTGAAGGTGATGGTGTCCACGAGTCAGTCCGTGCATGCACCCTGCACCCCGCACAGCACCAGTGACCACCATGTTGGGGGGCTGGGGCCGGGCTATGGGGGTAGATGGTACCCGGGAGAGAGGGAGAGAGGGACAAGGGCGGGTCAGTGCCCGGAG